GGGGGGGGTTGGGGGCTCACTAGAAGGCCTGTCCTTTCCCCGACCGGCACTGGGCGCCGCGATTTCTCCCAGGGCGGCAGGGTCCCCCCAACGTGGTGCACGCGGGCGCCCGCCAAGTGTTTTCGGGAAGCAGGTGGGGCCGGGCGGGGCTTTGGCCCAGCGAGGCCTCTGACTGGCTGCTGGAGAGTTGATTGGCTGTGCAGGGTTTTTTTTTTTAAAAAAAGGGATGCTTTTGCGAGCTGCTGCCGCCACAGCGTGAGGATCTTCCCTGGGTGACTGAAGGAACGCTGGGGCGGCCATTTTCTGTCTGCGCCCACCACCCTGTGTCAGAACCCCAAAGGTGCACGCAGGCTTAAAATGGTTGGGGATCCCGGTTTATTTGTTTTTCATCTCAGAGCCAGAAGGGACCCCCAGGTTCATCTAGTCCAGCCCTGCTGCCGAAGCAGGAACAGCACTCTGATACCCCCGAGAAGCAGGTATCCGATCGATATTCAGAAACACGGCTAGCCGATACGGGACGGAGAGCCCGGCTTAACTGTCTGGAGCCCGGCCTCAGCCCCAGAACCTGTTTTGATGCTGGGGCTGTACTGTAGAGCACGCAGAACAGAGAAGGAAGGGTGCCCCTGAGAACGTGCAGAGTGCCGCCGCCTCCCCTGACCAATCGCCCTTCCATGCCAAAAGTTTCGCAAGGCTTTTGGGTCGGGGAGCAACCCATTTTTAGACATTCAACGGGGTGGGGAGGCATCTCTTATCTGCACCGAGCTCTCTCGCTGGGTCTGAATGCCCCAGAAGTCAGGACAGGTCTGCTGCCTCCAGGATTCTCTATGGTTTTGTGTTCCTTCTGCAGCAAAGAGTTCAGCTGCCTTGGGACCGTGTGTGAGTGTGTGTGTGTGTGTGTGTGTGTGTGTGTGTAAAACACACAGTACCCGGGCCTCTGTCCTGAAAGACCTGGAAACAACTTCTGGTTCCACGGAGACCAGCTTAATAGACTCAGGACTGTTTCATTAGCTAACCCATAATATACCGTAACAATCCCTTGGCACTCCGGTGGAACGCTCAAGTCCCACGATGTTGGTTAGTGGCTGCTTACCCCTGTGGCTGTGTGTGGAACCAGTGTGTTAGAGCAGGGGTTAGGTGTCCTGGATTCAAATTCCGACTCCGCCATGGAAGCTCGCTGGGTGACCTTGGGCCAGTCACTCTTCCGCTCTGTCTCACCCTGACCCCTTCTCCTGAGGTTGACATGGAAACAAAGGGGGGGGGAAGAGCCCTGAATTCCTTGGAGGGAGGGTGGCATGAAGACGGATGGATGTGCAATTAAAGAACAGTAAAGAGTGGTATTATTCCCCACACACACACACACACACACAGAGCTTTTTGGCTGTGTTCTTATTGGTGAGATGGGGATAATAATATACATGAGCATGATCCGGAACACAGAACCGGAGAGAGGGTAGTTGAGAGTACTGCTGTTTATATAACCTCATCCATGATAGCTAGACCGGAGACCTTAGAGACCAACAAGGTTCTCAGGGTGTGAGTTTTCGAGAGAGACGAAGGGATCCTTGACTCTCAAAAACTCACACCCCTCCGAAATTCTTGTGGGTCTGTCAGGTGCTCCTGGACTCCAGCACAGCTACCCCCGGAAGCAGGCCTTATCTACAACATTTATTTATTTATTTTAAACGGACGGTGCCTAACATTTGTGTAGCACTTTCCGTACTCAAAGCACTTCACTGATGAAACCTTCTTGGAGCTCTTAGGACAGCCCTGCAAGGTAGGCCAGTCTTATCGGGCAGAGGCCAGATCCACACCTGGAATCTCCCTGCTCGGCCACTCATCCTCTTAGCCGCTCTGCTGCTCCGGCTCCCAGCACAGAGCCTTGTGTGCACAGCACCGGACAAAGCACAAGACAAACAGGTCCCTGCCCTGAGGAGCTTACAGTTTAACATCGGAGCCAACCAAGGAAACCGGATGCTGATCCAGTGGCACTGCTTGTAGACTCTTGCATTCCACTGGAGAGCCTTCGGTTAATAATTGTTGTTGTTCAGTCGCACAGTCGAGTCCGACTCTTCGCAACCCCATGGAGCAAATCACGCCAGGCCCTCCTGTCTTCCGTCATGTTCCGGAGTTTGCTTAATTTCATGTTCGTTGCCTCGATAACACTGTCTAACCATCTCATCCTTTGCCATCCCCGTCGTCTTTGACCTTCAGTCTTTCCCAGCATCAGGGTCTTCTTCTCCAGTGAGGGCTCCCTTCTCGTTGGGTGGCCAAAGTATTGGAGCTTCAGCTTCTGTCTCTGGCCTTCCAGGGAACAGTCAGGGTTGATTTCCTTTAGGATTGGCTGATTTGATCTCCTTGCAGTTCAAGGGAGACTCTCAAGAGTCTTCTCCAGCACCATAGTTCAAAAGAATCTATTCTTCAGCGCTCGGCCTTCCTTATAGTCCAACTCTCGCAGCCATACATGACTACTGGGAATACCATTGCTTTGACCATGCGGACTTTTGTTGGCAGGGTGATGCCAACCTCTGAGCGAAAGGTTGGCACAAAGGTTCTGTTAATAATAAAGGTAAAGGTTCCCTTGCTCGAAAGCCAGTTGAATCCGACACTAGGGTTGCGTTGCTCATCTCTGTTTCCAAGCCGAAGAGCCAGCACTGTCCGAAGACATTTCTGTGGTCATGTGGCCGGCATGACTAAACACCAAGGCGCACGGAACGCTGTGACCTTCCCACCGAAGTGGTACCTATTTATCTACTTGCAATGTCTTGCTTTCGAACTGCTAGGTTGGCAGGAGCTGGGGCTAGAGACGGGAGCTCACTCCATCATGCAGCACACTCGGGTCTCGAACTGCTGAACTACCGACCTTCCACAGCCTGCAGTTCAGCGTCTTAACCACTTGAGCCACCGCAGCTCCGTTAATAATAACCAGCCCTATTTCTTAGTCTAGCCCAGGGGTCCCCAACGAGGTGCCCGTGGGCACTAGGGCCCCCACCAACACCGTTCCTGGCGCCTGCCAAAAGTTTCTAGAAAGGGGGCGTGGTCAGGCAGGGCTTCTGCCCAGCAAGGCTTCTGATTGGCCTCTGGAGATCTGATTGGCTGCAAAGGTTTTTTAAAAGGTTGCTTTGACAGCAGCTGCCACCGCAGCACGAGGATCTTCGCTGTGTGACTGAAGGGAAGTGGTCGGCAAGGTTGGGAACCCCCGGCCAAGCCTACCTCACTGGGTCGCCGTGTCACGAAGAAGGCTCTGGCTGATGCCACGGAGAGCCAACGGAATTTTTTTCTTCTTCCCCCACCCCGCCGATCCCCCTCCCCCCGCCTCACTCCCGCTCTCCCCAGATGATAACCTCTCCGGAACCAGTGGGATGGAGGTGGACGACCGCATCTCCTACCTGGAACAGCGGCTCCAGCTGCAAGAAGACGAGATCCAGGTTCTGAAGGCGGCTCTGGCCGACGTCCTCCGGCGCCTGACCACCTGCGAGGAGAACGGGCTCAGCCTGCAGAAGAGAGGGCCCAGCAAAGGTACCCAGGACGGGGAAGGGGAGGGGGCCGGAGGCAGCCGTGGAAGACCCCTTGAGCCAAGCCGATGGAACTCTAGGCACACCGTGGTCTCCCGTTTAGAGCCCCGGGGCGCCTTTCAGACCAACAGAGGTTTATTCGAGTTATGAGGTTTTGTGCGCACGCACCAATGTATTTGACAAAGTGTGCCAAGTTGCACAGGAAAGCACACGCCTCGAATAAACCTCTGTTGGTCTTCAAGGCACCCCGGGACTCTAAATTCGTTCTGCTGCTTCAGACCAACACGGTTGGCCACCAGGAACTATCCCCCAAACCCTGTTGGTCCCTAAGGTGCTGCTGGACACGTTACATCCTCTGCCATCCCCCACTCTCTCTTTCTGCACCTCGAAGTCAAAGCACTTTATATTCACCGCCGTCACGACAGCTCTGCAAGGCGGTCTTCCCCTTATGACCTCTGAGTTAAAAACGGGAGGCTGAGAGACAACTGGTGCGTGTAAGACCCCTGCGTTCTCTCCGCCTGCGCTGCTGTGCAGTCTCTGTTGGAGTTGCAAGTTGCTCACCTTTCAGGCACTACGGAGTTTCGACTTTGCATGACCATCTGCATCGTGTTACACGATAACTTGCCGCTCAGCCTCCGTCTATGACAGTGGTGGCGAACGTATGGCATGGGTGCTACAGGTGGCACTCAGAGCCCTCCCTGTGGGCACGCGTGCCATCGCCCCAGCCAGGCCCAGACCATCATTAAAGTGTCAAATTCTCTCCCAAATAATTTTAAGTCAATGAAAGCATCTGGGATTGCTTTCCTTACTTTGTTTGGATCATCTTCAGTTAATGTATGAGTTGTTTTTTCTAAAATAAAACCTCAGTATTCAGGTTAAATTACCATGTTGGCACTTTGCGATAAATAAGTGGGTTTTGGGTCACAGTTTGGGCACTCGGTCTCTAAAAGGTTCCCCATCACTGGTCTATGAGTCTGAACTCTAGCTTCCTTTCCAACGTGTTTGAAAAACCGTGCCTTACACACGAAAGCTCACGCCTTGAACAATCCTTGGTTGGTCTTAAAGGTGCCCCACCGGACTCTAAATCTGTTCTCCTGCTTCAGACCAACACGGCGACCCACCTGGATCTATCTTAAAGGTCTCCAGTGTCACCTGGAGGTCTTCCGCTGCATTTCCCCCAAACTCGACCATGAGTTTTTTTGGGGGAAGGGGCGTCTTTCTTTCACAAGACATCACCATACATTCATTCACCTTCCAGGTTCTTCCTGTCCTAGCTGTATTTTTACCCCCAAAACCTGCTTAGGGGTGACGTTTCCTGAAAGCTCACACTCAAAAGTGGGTTTGCCCCTGCATGGACAGGAAAGGGGTGGGTCTGGCGACCCCCCGTCCACCTCCAGGGCCACTCCTGCCCCACCCCAGTCCTCCCCGGTTGAGCATCCCCTCCAACACACACATGACTTTGGCACGTTTTTTGGATATTTTCTAAAAAATGGTAGTAGGTACACAGCTGGAGGGAGGGTGGCCTGGTATAGTCCTATCTTGCTAGATCTCAGAAGCTCAGCAGGGTCGGTACTTGGAAGGGAGACCACCAAGGAAGGCTCTGCAGAGGAAGGCAAAGGCAAACCACCTCTGCCTCTCCCTTGCCTTGGAAGCCCCTTGCTGGGGTGGCCGTAAGTCGGAAGCTCAGCAGGGTCGGTACTTGGAAGGGAGGCCAACAAGGAAGGCTCTGCAGAGGAACGCAAAGGCAAACCACCTCTGCCTCTCCCTTGCCTTGGAAGCCCCTTGCTGGGGTGGCCGTAAGTCGGAAGCTCAGCAGGGTCGGTACTTGGAAGGGAGACCACCAAGGAAGGCTCTGCAGAGGAAGGCAAGGGCAAACCACCTCTGCCTCTCCCTTGCCTTGGAAGCCCCTTGCTGGGGTGGCCTTAAGTCGGAAGCTCAGCAGGGTCGGTGCTTGGAAGGGAGACCACCAAGGAAGGCTCTGCAGAGGAAGGCAAGGGCAAACCACCTCTGCCTCTCCCTTGCCTTGGAAGCTTCTTGCTGGGGTGGCCATACGTTGGAAGCTCAGCAGGGTCTGTACTTGGAAGGGAGGCCACCAAGGAAGGCTCTGCAGAGGAAGGCAAAGGCAAACCACCTCTGCCTCTCCCTTGCCTCGGAAGCCCCTTGCTGGGGTGGCCGTAAGTCGGAAGCTCAGCAGGGTCGGTACTTGGATGGGAGACCACCAAGGAAGGCTCTGCAGAGGAAGGCAATGGGAAACAACTGCTTCTCCCTTGCCTTGGAAGCCCCTTGCTGGGGTGGCCATAAGTTGGAAGCTCAGCAGGGTCGGTACTTGGAAGGGAGACCACCAAGGAAGGCTCTGCAGAGGAAGGCAAGGGCAGACCACCTCTGCCTCTCCCTTGCCTTGGAAGCCCCTTGCTGGGGTGGCCATGATTCGGCTGCAACTTGGTGGTAACTTTACACACAAACAGGTACCTGGCTCCAGTGTCAGAAGGCTATAGCAATATAGCGGACAGTGCCATGGAGTCATGGGCAACTACTGGCGACCCCCTAGCGTTTTCAAGGCAAGAGACATCCAGAGGTGGTTGGCCATCGCCTGCCTCTGCGTAGTGACCCTGGACTTCCCAGTAGTCCCCCATCCAGGTACTAACTGGAGTCAACCCCGTTTAGCTTCCGAGACCGGGCCAATCTGGACCAAGGCTCCCTCTCAGCTGTGGAGTCCTGAGAGCAAAAATTCAACTTTGTGAGCTACGAGCATTGAAGTTGCGAGCAGATGATTTGGCCACTGTATAAATCAGTTTGCTCTGGAGCCATACCTTCCTGAGCGAAGGCAAAATGTGTGAGCCGGAGGCTAAAAAACTGTGAGCTGGCTCACAGTAACTCAGCTCAAGAGGGAACATTGATCTGGACCATCCAAATCAGGGCGTAGCGATATACCTACCCCCCCCCCCCAATTCTTTTTTGGGAAAAGCCAGCAAACAGCACCCTGGCAGCAGGGGGGAGAAAGGGTGGCCCCAGGGGAGACCAGGGAGTATCCCCACCCCCACCCCACTGGATGCTCTGTTGCCCCCCCCTGACTCTCCCTGCATCCGTGAAGCTTCAAGACATCCAAGCGCTCCCCCCCCGTCTCTCGACAGCTTTTCCTGTAAATGCAGTCACAAAAAACAAAAACAAAAATTCCAACCGTTCGCATGGCAGAAGACATCGCACAGTCTACAAGATGGCCTTTCTTTCAGCATACTAGTTATACAGGGGTCATTTCCTGCCGGAGCGCACAGGAACAGAGCTCCGGCAGTAAAGAGCCCAGGGGGCGGGCACATGCAACAAGCCCCGCCCCCTGCTCCCAGCAGCCCACAGTCAGAGCAAGAAGCAGCTGGGTAAGTTGCAGAGCCCCCCCTGGCCCAAACCAGTCCAGTGGCACCTTTAAGGCAAGGTTTTATTCAGGTACAAGTTCTCCCTCCTCTGCGAGGACAGATCTGCACATCCAAAACAGTCCAGCGGAGCCTGAGTGGTGGGTGTTGCCTTCTGACACACTTCCAGTGATTCCAGGGGGTGTGGCACATGCAAATGAGTTATGCTAATGAGCTCCTGCACCTCTTCTACGAAATGACCCTGCTAGTTAACCAAACCTGGAGATCCTACCGCCTTTCCTTCCCATACTTAATTTTTCATTTCTCAGCACAAAAGTTGTGCAAATGATAAAACCCGGCCTTGCTTCAAATGAGAGGCGATGCTGTCGTTTCCCCAGAGAATCCTTCCTCTCCAAGAAAATCTGTCTTTCAAAGCGCCCCTCATGGGGGGGGGGCTCTCTCTGGGCCATTTCCCTCCCGGACATTGTTCCCCTGGCTGGGAGAAGAGTGCCTGGCCCTGGCTTCGGCTCCCAGCCAGTTGGGGGCCGCCTTCAACCGGGGGTCCTGACAGCCCCTCTGCCGTCCAGAGCTTGGCGCCTCCAGAAGGCTTTGGAGCGGCCAACGGACCCGAGGAAGAAAGGACCTTCATTCTGGGCCAGCGGCCAGAAAAGCAGTGAATCAAGGCCCATTTCTACTCCGCTCTGTTGCTTTTGTGTTCCAAGGACGTACAGCTTTGGTGAACAGACGGTGTTTGTGCCGTTCTCCACGCCTGGACCCAGACAGACCTCTCTCCCCCCGCCCTGGGATTTTGGATTTGAAGACCAGGCTGCCTTAGAGGAGTTCCATGTAAAACCCATGTGGACTTATCATTTGCCTCCAGGCCAGATTGGCCCAAGGATTCTGGAGGGGTTTTTTTTTGCCTTTCTCTGGGCATACAGCAGGGGTCACTGGGGGAGGCAGGGTAGCTGTGAATTTCCTGCATTGTGCAGGGGGTGGACTAGATGGCCTTCTTTGAGGTACCTCCCAGCTCTGTGAATCCGATCAGATGGCTCTTTAGATCCACGCGAGGCACGATTGCCTCACGGACCTAAATCCTGCTCAGAGCTCAGCTGGGTCTCTTCCATGGGCATCCTGTTTTGCCGCACTTATAAGATAGCACTTTAAATCTAGGATCTTCGGTTACCTGCGGGACAACTGCGGGCTTTCACCCATCTGATCGTTCCACCAGTGCGCAATCCTCCCTCCGGGGTGGTCTGACGTCAGACCATCCTGAGCGGGCGCCATTTTAAAAAATCTCTACACATGTGCGGATCAACAAGGACGCGCTGTGATGTCTATGCGCATGTGCAAAAAGTTTTTTAAAAACCTACCGCACGCCTCCTTCAACAAGGACGCACTGTGACGCCTATGCGCATGCGCAAAAAGTTTTCCTTAAAACCCCTCACCGTGCATGCCTCCTTCAGTGGACGCCATCTAGACCATCCACAATGGAGGCAGCACGCTAAGACGATTCACCAGGGGGGTGTCTGGTCATGCTACGATGGATTAAAAAGATCGGGATAAAATTCAAGCTGGCCTGATGACGGGATTAGCTGCCCGTCTGAATGCGCCCTGTGTTTCTCTGATTCTGGGGCCCAGGGCTAAAGCCAGGGGTCGGATCCCAGAACCACTGCCACCCCATTCCTGTCTACCCCTGATGGTGCCAAGCAAAGTTTGCTTGAAGACACTCTGCCTCTGACTTAGAGAGCCACACAGGTGCTTTTTGGACCTAAATTGGAAGGTGTTCTAATTCAGCAGCTGTGCACTTGGCACCAGGCACATGACTTCCATCTTTTGAGGTCTCGCAAACATCTTTGTCTTGTGTCTTTAGACCTTGCTACTTAAGCTTCCTTTTCTTGGTCCAATATTCACTTATTGGTTATCTTATTGTAATGTGCATTATTGTTACGTGTACCTCAATACTGTTTGACCTCTGAAGAAGGTTCCCCCATACAGTAGAAACATGTCAGGTCACATGTTCCCTCTAAGCTGTGGAGTCTTGTGAGCAAAAATTCTACTTTGTGAGCTACTGGCAATAAAGTTGTGAGCAAGCAATTTGGCTACTGCGTTAATTAGTCTGCTCCGGAGCCATCCCTTCCTGAGCGGAGACAAAAAGGTGTGAGCTGGAGGCTAAAAAACTGTGAGCTGGCTCACACTAAGGTCACATGTATTGGCCTTTGCGTTTAGGCTACTTGAACTTTTCAACGAGGCTTTCACTGGGCCCTTAGATGTTTTTAACTGTCTTTCTAATACATACATGCATTTCTGTATATTATAAGTTTTAACTCAGTTTTTAATACTGGCCCTTTATCAAGACTTCTTTCTCACCCTTGTGGTTCTCGATTCCAGCTTTTGGGTAAGGTCTGTTTCCCCCCCCCCTCCCTGCGCCTCACTGCCAAGCAAAGGGTGACCTTCACCCGGCGCGAGGTGGGCGGGTGCCACCGCTTCTACTGGAAGCCAGCTGCCCGAGCCCTTAGTCAAGGCAGGGGCAAGCATCAAGAAGGCCCTGCTCTTTTTTCTCCCACTTTCCTTCAGGGTGGGATGGGACCGGGAGCAGCTGTGGCCCTCCCCAGAGTGGGGCCTGGGGGCAGCTGCCCGCGTTGACCACCGATCCGACCATCCCTATGCACACTGGGAATAATTCACCAGAGGTGTTTGGGTGACCGACTGCTCCCCCCCCTGGCCTAAACACTGTGGATCCTCTCCTTCAATAGCTTGCGGACGCCGACGGGGCGCTCAGGTTTTCTAATGGCCTCGTCCTTACACCAAGGGTACCAGCCTGCAGGCCCCGACCCATTTGAAAAAGGGCAACAAATCATTCCCCGAAAGGCAAAATAAGACCTAACAACTGGCCACACGGTGAGAAGGCGAGCGTCACTGGCAAAGACAAGAACACTAGGGAAAGCGGGAGGCGACAAGAAAAGAGGGAGGCCCAACTTGAGATGGACGGACTCGGTCAGGGAAGCCACAAGGGCCCTCCGTTTGCAAGACCCAAGCAAGGCAGTTAAGACCCAAGCAAGAGAGCCAGTTTAGCATAGTGGTTAAGTGCGCGGACTCTACTCTGGGAGAACCGGGTTTGATTCCCCACTCCTCCACTTGCACCTGCTGGATGACCTTGGGCAAGCCGAAGCTCTGGTAAGAGCTGTTCTTGAAAAAAAGCCCTTTCTGTCAAGAGCTCTCTCAGCCCCATCTACCGCGCAGGGTGTCTGTCGTGGGGAGGGGAAGGGAAAGGAGTCTGTAAGCCACTCTGAGACTCCTTTGGGTAGTGAAGGGCGGGGTATAAATCCAATCTCTTCTTCTTCTTTTGGTGTAGTGGTTAAGTGCGCGGACTCTAATCTGGGAGAACCGGGTTCGATTCCCCACTCCTCCTCCACTTGCACCTGGCTGGATGACCTTGGGCAAGCCATAGTTCTGACAAGAGCTGTTCTTGAAAAAGAGCAGTTTCTGTCAAGAGCTCTCTCCGCCCCACCTACCTCACAGGGTGTCTCTCGTGGGGAGGCAAAGGAAAAGGAGACTGCCAGCCGCTCTGAGACACCTTTGGGTAGTGAAGGGTAGGGTATAAATCCAATCTGTTCTTCTTTTTCTAGCATTTATGCTTTTCTAACAGTTCCTTGCACTTTGCTTTATTGTTAAAACTGGCTCCAGGAACTAATTTGGCTGGGTAGTAAGTAATGGTCCCTCTTAGCTGTGGAGTTTTGTGAGCAAATATTCTACTTTGGCTGGCATTAAAGTCGTGAGTGAGCGATTCGGCTGCTGCATCAATAGTTTGCTCTGGAGCCGTCCTTCCTGAGCTGAGACAAAAATCTGTGAGCTGGAGGCTAAAAAAACTGTGAGCTAGCTCACACCAACTCAGCTTAGAGGGAACACTGGTATTAAGTGCAAAAGCCACAGGATACGTCATTTTAGAACGAACCGAAAGAGCACCAAGCACAGTGCAAGCTTTTGCACAATCCATGGAATTCTTCATTAGGCTTGAGGTTTTTTTGTCTTAGGAAGGCCGGGGGTGGGGGGGTGGGGATGTTTACAAGCTCTGCTCTTAAGAGGCCTCTTCCTTGCGTCCTGCGCAGAATGCCGGGCAGCGCTGAATAGATAAAGGTGGTGCCGGGCGGAGCTGGCATCAGGTGGCACCTTTGGCCCTCTGGAAAGAAAGGGGAAGTGCAGCCTCTCAATAGCAACCCCCCTCCCCACCAAACCAGCAGGTGATCCGATGCTTCTCCACCACTGGGCCCCTTACAGTGGAGGGTGTGGTGGTGGTTTGATCGTCGGATCTTCGTTTCAGAGGATCCACTAGGCCAAGTTTCCCCAACATGGTGCCCTCTGGCACTTCCCCTGGAGTCCGGCCAGCTTTTCAGGAAGTGAGGTAGGCAGGGCTGAGAGAGCTCTTTTCAGAACTGCCCTTGAGAGAACAGCTCTGACAGAACTATGGCTTGCCCAAGGTCATCCAGCAGGTGCAAGTAGAGGAGTGGGGAATCAAACCCGGCTCTCCCAGATTAGAGTCCGCCTGCACTTAACCACGACACCAAACTGGCTCTCCCCC